TCTGCTTCGGCAGTCCAGCCGTCGAGACGTCGTGGTTGAGCACGTAAGCGATCTTGCGACATCCCATTTGACGGGGGAAATTCCGTTGGATTTTAGTAGTTAGAAGCTTTCTAGCCGGTGAGTTCCAAATAACCGAGGTGGTGGTGTATATCCAGATGGTATACATAAATGCATTTCTCTAAATTAATAATATTTTATGAATTACCTTATACCTATATTGATTTAATACGCAGGGTACTATTTATAACGAACCTTCCAAGAGAGAGGAGTCATGGATCAAAAGTAGTATGTATATAAAAAAAACCGACCAAATGCGTATCAGAACACGCGCCATTTAGGGTTCCGTTGTACATAGTCATAAGAAGAGGGATTTTTGTTGTTTCATACTATGAACATTTAACGTTAACTGTTTCGGCGGCTCATAGTAACAATTACAATTTATAAGTTGATCGACTATTAGGTACTCGTAGAATTGTAAAGCCTACTTAGCTGTGATAGTTTTCCTTTTAACTTCGTTATATAAACTATTACCGTGATTTTTTTCACGTATCCAAAAAAAACACTTTAAAGCTTAATATTTCGCAAACGGATCCCTAAATCGAAAATTGTTTGCACAAACCCGAAATATTTTTAAAAGACTTATACAACGACACCCTTCATACACTATGGGGCCATGAGAAAAAAAACATCCCACTTTACGTGTAGAGGTATTTACCTACCTACCTTAAAAAAAAATTTCAAAATTTTATTTTACCACATTCTTGACGTGACTAATATGTATTGCGTAAACTGAAACCTGAAACTATAAGAGTTCCTTGTTGACTACGGAACCCTAAAAATAGACGCATTTAAAGTCACGTGTAATAACTATTCAAAAACATAATTTATCTAATTAAAGATGCAGGTATATAGGTAATTTTAACTTATATACAAATAATTAACATAGATAGTACTTATTGTAAGGTACTTTGATGCCATTTTTTGAATTTTTGAAATCATTTTTGTAAAATAGGGGGTAGGGTGTAGGCACTGTCTGTAACAAGTAGGTATATAACGCTTTTGAGACGTCTATACCCTTAGTCTCTCCCAAGACCATGATTGTTGTAATTTGTAAAGCATTCGAAACGTCGGGAACCAAAAATCAAAATAAATCCGCGAAATAATCTAAAAAGATAGTTTTATTTAAAATGTAACATAGATAGTACTTATAATTTACAAACTAAAGTAATCAAATACATATAACATTTTTTATTAATGAATAACATCGATTAAAATGAAATTATCGTTATCTGTTCCCTATATACTGAATTGATTCACTAACTATCAAAATAATATTTGTATCGTCCGTAATTACATTGAAACAAATGAAAATACTATTTTATTCTGATTGTATCAATAAAATTGATTTCAATCATCAATAACTGAAATTAATATTACGTTCTTGATTTTTGGAATGATTGAATTAATTCAATCGGTGGACAAATAACAGTTATTGCCTCAAGACTCGCAATACGATGTTGTACACAAGTGATTTTATAACTCCTCCGAAAAATATTCGTCCAAAAGTGAATAAAAACGCATTTACCGTTAACTTACACAATGATAATGAAAAAAGGAAAATACACTCATACTCCATAGCGTACGCTTTCAAGCCTCTATTATATTTTTCATCGATCGTTGCGATGAACACATTTAGATATTGTAAAACCGGTACGACTGTGAATGGCGTGTTCAGTAAAATACACTGTCTATTTACAGTAATTACTTATGCAACTGCAACAGGTATTATAAAACCGTTAACCTGGAAGCATTTAGAGGCAGATATCCCCTTAATTATGTTAAGTAAAACTTTCATTATTTTACAAAACATCGAATTAATTTATGATATCTTCAGTCTTTCCTTCGGGAATAGTATTTTTTATATACAACTAATTCAAACAATCGATGATATTGATGTTCATTTTGGTACTGGTGAAAAATTGTTCTTCAAGCGGCGCAGGTTTACGTTTTTTTTGTTGTTCACAACCATAGCTGTGCTTTTCTCAACTCTTCTATTTAAATTTTACCATATATATAACCTTCTAACTTATACAACGTTTTTGATTATATTGATTCATGGTGTTACTTGTATTTTCTTTCTTGTTATAATTTATACACACCTATTAAATCTCAATAGCCTGCTATTAGAAAAGTGTCCTGAAATATCAGACTCAAAGAAATTACTTTTAGAAGACGATATTACAACGAGTATTATCAGGGTGAGTAGAATTTAAAGAAGTCTAAGGTTACAATCTTAAGAATATTATTAAAATTAACATTGTACATAATATAAATAAAATATATAGAGTAACTAGCATTGCCCGCGGCTCCGCCCACGTTCAGATGACCAAGAACTAAAATCATTAGGTTTTACATATTAGTATACTCTTACATTGCAGTACTTGTATTTTTTCGCAGAAATGAGACATTTTCCCGCGGAAAAAAGTATCCTATATGTTGACCCGGATAACCAGCTATCACCATACCAAATTTTATCAAAATCCCTCCAGTGGTTTTTCTGTGATGCGGTGACAGACAGATAAAAATTCTAAAAACTATAGATTCGGCCTCTGTATCGATAATAATGTTTATTTCAATAAGATTTTTCATAAAATATTTAATGTAGAGATTCGGCTTAGTTACAATTTTATTATATGTATAAATCTGTAACAAATTTATGTAAATCCTTGTATTAAAATGTAAAGAAAGGCAATAGAGAGAGATAATATTTGCTAAAAATATTATAAGAATACGCTTAAACCCTACATTTTCTCTCAATCCGTACATTTAGGTATATTTTAATCTCTGTCATTGTTGTTTCAGAAAATGCTCAGTAATTCAGTGAACACATTTAGTAATAACAGCTATTGTTGGTTTGAACTCATGCAAATATATGATAAAATTGCTGACTGTATTTATATTTTTAACAAAATATATGCCCTGCAGGTACTTTTTTGTTACTGTTAACATAACATACTTATTTTAATATTATATACTTATTTTAATATTTACTATACTTATTATATTTGCCAGGTTTTGCGCTTAGATTCATCATTCCTACCTACATGCTAACAAGATATTTATTTATCCCTTATATAAAATTATGCCTTCTTATTCTTTTATCAATAACTAGAATAAATATAAAGCTTTGCTTGCTTTAATTCTCACTAGCTTATAGTATGTGAGTAGGGTAGATAATATGAATTTGTTTAATATGTAGTTTGATGAGATTAATAAAACCATCGAAATCGATATTTAATATGACTTGCAAACAAAGTTTTTATTGTTACGAGACTTTTTATCTAATGGATATAAATTATTTTTTATTGAATAATTTAAAATTGTTTTCACAGAAAAAAAAAATTATAAGCGCGCTCCAATATTCATATTAGCGCTCATTCGGTGAGGACCTTTTTAGCACTAATTGTGTGTCCAGTACATTTTTGATCGATGCTCAAGGGCAAAATATTTACTTTATTTGGTTTTGAATTAGGTTTACCTTTTTTCAGATACTCTTCATGTATAATTGTTGGCTTTTAAGTACACTTTTAACCATATGCAGGTCGATGTCGCCTATGTTATACGATGTAAGTGCCTATATAGAATTTTTGCATTTTTTCCTTGTTTTTTTACTTTTTATACATTTTGGCGTAACAGAACAAAAATAGCCAAAGATTTCATCCCGTATGTCACAACTCTCTGTTTGTAAAAGGAATGCTAACAGCTAACTTCATCATGTAGCTTTTTGGCTGTCGGTGTGCGCATCCTAAAAATTTTACTCTCATAATTTTTTGCAAACGTGCCAAAAGAAGTAAAAAAGTTATCAAAATAATGACATTTGTGCTCTATGAAGTTTTTTTACTATCTGAGTTTTTTTGTTTGGAGTACGTCATTATATTGTTAAGTTGTTTTTTAAAGCAGGTCGTAATACTATCTTTTTTCCCGCAACCAGCGCGCGGTTTTAAACCACATGTCGCCATTCAAAGAATTCTATTCAGTTGCCGCACTTCCAGTTTATTATACGACTACCTTAACTTGTTGTACTTCTTAATTCGTGCTCAATTCGTTGTAAAACTCGCATAATAATTTTAACCACATAAAAGTTTACATAACAGCGCACTATTTTTTGATTAGTGTTGCCTGGAAAATGAAAGCCAAGAGGCACAAACGGAACCCTAATAAATTCATCATGCCCGTCTGTCCGTTTGTCCTTATTACATAGTTATTTCATTCAGAAGCTATTGATGATATATTGGTGGAGATTACTAAGCTTGTGGCTCTCATATAAATTGTTAGACAATTATGTAGTCAAGTAACGAAAAATAAAATAGAACACTCAATACATACAACTGAAGGGTGAAAAAGTCTTTTAAATTAATACCTCCAGGTAAATTTCTAAGAAATTAATTCAAATTCTAAGAAATCTATTGTAACTGTGACGCCGGCGTGTCCGCGGTCTGGAGGGATTAACTTTTTATTCAAGCCAATAGCTATAATAAACTGTTGTAATTGAGTTTTAGTGAGACTAAAGAACGGCATTTGTTTTTATGCTTATACATACCTATACATATTACATACATTATACTAGCGACTCATCATCATTTTCAACCAAATTTTATTTAAATTGGTTCAACAGATCCAGAGATTACCCACTACAATGTCACAAACTCACAAACTTTACCTCTTTATAATATTATATTATACATAATATTATATTAGTATGGACTACTAGGTATAGATAGATAGATTGCGTTTAGTATTTACAACCGCTGTCCGCTAGCGGTAAGAAACCGTAGTACAATCTTTCTTTATACTTTGCACTTCTACTGTTTCATTAGTTGATAAAAATATGTAAATAATTAATATAGGTACGTCAATATATTTTTCAGCAAAAACAAAGCATTAAAACTGATAAATATTATTACGTTTTCATAAATCTACGACCATTACTCATAACGAAAATGAGTGAATGTTTCATACAAGAGAAAAGTAAAACGCTGCTGATTTTAAGAGATATTTACGTTAATCAAGATCTAGGTAAGATACTTATATTATTAACTAACTCAGTTAGTCCTGTGCCTAATCTCTTTCGGTGGAAATAATACCAAATTGTCGCCCAACCAAGCTGATTGTGAAAGGAATAGGGCATTCTGCGCGTATGCTTGTGCAAACACTAATATTAAAAATAGCATCTCCCGCGCAGATACTTTCTGTGAAAATATGTTACAGATATATTTATATATGTAATCATTTATACAAAGTAAGAAAATGTACAGTTTACATTTAGATATGTATTCTCGCTTTGTTAAATAATTATACAATGTCCAACGTTAAAAATTACGGCCGATTTAAAAGCGGAGTCACTGATGTGTTTGCTTCGAAATAAGTGTGTTTAAACGTTCTGCCATTATATAATTCGATAATATTATATTTTAATAATATAATTAAACATCTTGCAGAAATTATGAATGTTAAAAATAAGAATGTTATTACATATCCCAAGTATTAAATATCATAAGACCCATAATACGAACTATACGCACACAAACTTCATAGATACGAGTGTAGCACAGTACTTTTCAAATATGGAGATGAACTTAAAGTAAATATTTTATACATTATTAGATTTCGTCATACAAAGCGCTTTGACTCTTATAGTGCTACATGCACATATGCTAGTATAATGTATGGTCATAAGAGTTTAGATCCATTTACCCTATGGTAGAATATTTCGAATTTAAGTAAGTCATAATCCGAAGTTTCAGTTTCCTGTTGCTTCACTCAATCAAATTGTATTTGTGTACTAAACATCCAAATCCATCCAACAGTGTCAGTGTAAAGGTGTAATAAAAACAAACTTTCGCAATTATAATAGTAGCCCGATATTCAATGATAATATTAATACATATTCTTTTATTATCAAAAACTACTTTGCAAGCCAATATAAATTAATAAGGTTATATTTTGACGACACGTTTGGCTCAGTTTGTAGTGACGCTACTGTACAGTAAGCTGTGCCAGCGGTTACGGGTTTGAGTCCCGCTGGAGGCATTCATTTGTGTGTTGTGCACGACTATTTGTACTCTAGTCATGGGTGTTTATATTAATAATATGTATGTATTTTGAGCTATAAATGTGTAAAGTATCAACTATCTGGTATCCATAACACAAGCCTCGTAGCTTACCATGGAACAAGATGGTGCTATGTGTTAATGTCCCAACATATTTATTATTATTCCAGATCAAGATTACCGCTCTCAGGTTGAAAATATGTTGCAATTGGTGGAAACAAGAAACCTGAAAATATCAGCGAATGTATGTTGGATCGATCTGAAAATAATGATCGCGTTTGCTGGCCAAGTACTCTCTTATTCTGTGCTTTTATTACAAAATTTCTATTTGCATCACTAATTTATTCCAGAAATATAATAATATATATTAATATAATTAAAATTGAATTCTTTTGTCCGTGTATTACTATCATCTATCCCCCCTCCCCATACTACCTCTCTCTAGCTTTTCTCCTAACTTCTGTTATACCTAAATTTTTATTTATTTTCCTAATGAGATTTCAGGAATGATTATAAAAATGTCAGAAAAATAAAAAATAGTATTTTATCAGTATCAATCAGACTTTCGTGCTTTTAACCCCCGACGCAAAAAGAGGGCTGTTATAAGTTTGACGTCGATGTCTGTCTGTGTGTGTGTGCGTGTGTGTGTCTGTCTGTGGCATCGTAGCTCTCAAACGGATGGACCGATTTCAATTTTTTAATTTGAAAGCCAGTTTCCTTAGGTATGTTTGGTTAATATTGGTCCAGCAGTGTAAGAGTATCAGCTCTATTCCAAAATGATATAACTTTTAAGGCATTTTGGCGTATGATTACTCGATTAAGTGCTTTACGTGTGCCAGTGTAATCGTTAAATGATAATTAATTTGCGCAGAGGGTTTTTTTTTAATTTTGAATTTACAATTATTATTACAATTTACTAATATATTACCAGCGGTGTTTTGGTCAAATGATCATATTCATTGAAATTTATTTTGTTTTCAATATTGCTATATTTCACAAATCAAGACATAACATAACTTACATAAAATAAATAAAGTAATTTACAAAAATAAAAAAACCCGACTGCGTAGAAAGCGAACTAAAAGGACACAAGTTGACGAAGAAACATAGTATGAGCTTATAATAATAAATTATTTAAAGCTCCTACATTGCGGTTATTAATAGTAGTTACAATATAATACATTATTATTAGTAGTTAATGTGAAATAAATTCTAAAAGAAAAAGAATGAAATTAAAAACTGTTATACTGAGAAATAAAATGGTCATTTCAAAATATTTTCACGAACAAATGAGAAATAACATAGTTCTGTTATTTCCCTCGAGAGAAATAAAATCCAGGGCGAAAATATGAAGAATATGAACACGCTGCGAGAAATAAATTTTACATTGTCCGACATTCAACGACGAGGTTTATCTTTTCAGAATTTAACAGCCGGAGTGATCCGCTAAATAAATATGAATAGATAGGTAACAAAAAGTGCAATAAAATGTCATTGTAATAATATATTTTAACGATCAATTATGATATTGTTAAAAACAATGTAGCCCATTTGGGAAAAACTAAAATTTTAGACAATAGTTATTTTATTATCTTTACATTATTGTTAGAAGCTTTTTAACCTAAGGACCCCTCTGGTGTAGAGGTTAGGTTGACATTAGTATATAATATCCACAAAAAAATTAGATTAAGTTAAGATTAGTAATTCTTAATCCTTATGCAATAAGACATATCTAGGTATTCTAATATTATAAAGAGGTAAAGTTTGTGAGTTTCTGAGATTGTGAGTTTGTGACGTTGTAGGGGGTAATCTCTGGATCTACTGAACCGATTTAGATGAAATTTGGTAAGAAAATAGTTTGAGACCCTAGGAAGGACATAGATTACTTTTTATCCCGGAAATCACCCCTTAAAGGGGTAAAGATGGGGATAAAAGTTTGTATTGGTATTTGGGAAGCAAGCTAGTCGCTAGTAGGTACACTATAACAAGGGACGGGTTATTAATTCATTAAAAAACTTAATTTTTTCATATTCATTTATTGTTACTGTGGCGATTAATTATGACAATATAAGGAATAATAATTTTATTATCTAGAATAATTTATATAAGTAGATATAATATAATATATAAATAATTAATAGAAGTCACCAGCGAGTCCTGTTTATAGGTACGTACATATGTGCTTGTGGACACTGGACGCTAATCTCCAGAACTACTGAAAGAATTTGAGTGCTGTTTTTGCTAGTATGATTTGCCTTTCTCTAGAAACATTTTAATGTATTGAAAATTCTATTTAAATTATTGAAAGGTATTATTGAGTTGACTCGGCAGAAATCAATCACTATTACAAAAATTTGCACCTATAATAATACTTTGCTATACGCCCCCTTTGAGTTGACTCATATGTTAACTGACTTTGACGTCACAAACCTAGAAGTCGGCCGTCGGACTTCTTAATAGGAATATGTCCAAGACTAAATTGATGACGAATAGAGCTCATTATAGAATCCTAACAGAGGGTGTGGAAATCGAATACGTCGATGATTGTCTATTTGGGTCAAAAAGTCTCTTCTCAGGCAAAACAAAATAAAGAAATTTCGAAGCGCAGTGAAAACGCCTAGAAGAGTTATTGGTCCATGAAAGAATTAATGACGAGTAATCTTCCTTTATCCCTTAAGACAAAACTCATGGACGTGTGCTTTCTTTCCATTCTTACATTATAATGGTTCTCAAACTCGTGTCTCACAGGTTAACAAAGATCAGCACTTGAGGTTTGCCAAAGAGCAATGGAACGGAGTATACTGGGAATTAATATAACTGACCGCATCAAGAATACCAAAATCTGTTCTAGAACCCAAATTATTGATGTCACTGGAAAAGCTGCCTTACTAAAATGGGTCTGGGCTGGTCACGACATCCGGATGCCAGATGATCTTTGAGACAAGCAAACAACTTTTTAGGTCCCCCCAACACAGTAGACGACCACGTGGTAGGCCCAAACAGAGATGGCGGGATGAGTTGGACTACTCCAGAGAACTGATCTATTATGGCGAAAGATATGAGGCAGTCAGAAGAAGAGTAGGGAGGCCTTTGCCCTGCACTGGGACACCACAGGCTTATAATAATAATAATAAAATAATACACCCCCTTTTTTAAAAATACTGCTATTTTTTTTTCAGATTTTTTTTATGTTTGTTGGTTTGTACTTTGTACGATAATAGTAAAATCATTGATACTTCATAAAAATATTTCCACTGTCATCTATGATGTTAGACGACAATTCCAGATCACAACAATATAACTTAGCGCCATCTATGAACTAATTATAAAACTAGCTTTAAAACTAGCGCATGTCCAGTCATTTCATACAATTGGGTGTAAGATGTTGTCTAAAGATGGCACTGTACCAAAGAAAATTGGATATTTTCAATTTTGTAATATAAAAAATATTAATTCATAAATAATACTTTCTTAAATTTACGCGAATTTAAAATATTAATTCGGCAAGTTAATTTTACTTTCTTTCAGACATCATTTCAATTTTGTATATTTTGACGACTTTTTTAAAAATAATAATTTAGTATTGTACCTGCATCGGCATAAGACTACAAGGTTTATGTAATTAGGTTTACTAGAAAGTAACTTTTCTGATTTCTCGCCTGCCATTAACCAAGAACATTTGAACTTTGAAGAATAAATATGTTCATAACGATGAATCATGGTGTTTAACATTTCACAATATTAATTTCGACTTGCGCGTCACTAACATTACCCGCTAAATTTGTAGAATATAATCGATTTTAAAATTTAATCGATTATAAGAAATGACAATTGATAATTAAAATGTAATATGTTGTAATATTTAATTAAACTAATAATATTCGTAAGTAAGTTATAACTGATAATCGTGCAGATTTGCCTAGGGAGTATTACGGAAATGAGTGGAGCAGAGACTGCCACAATGCTTGTTTGCAGAGATTGAGCTTCGCGCTACAATTCGCTCTTAGTCTTCGTTATAGCTTTCATCTCACCAATGATTGATCGGTGCCAGATTGATTCCAGTGTAGAGTATACGACCAATCCGGCTCCATTCTAAGTGTTTAGGTGCTGGTTAATTTAAATTTCATTGCGGTGTTCCTACAGATTTGTTAATTATATATAATGGATACATGCAAAAAAATCTAAGCGATATGACGCCTTAAACCATTACGTTTCCAAGATAATTGAATATCGGCAATGCCAAAAAGTTTCTATCCACTTTCTTCTTTTCAGAATCAAGAAATGCATTTTTTTTCGAAACTATATAATATGTATGATTTCCAATAACTTCTAGTATGCACCCATTTAATTTCTTATAAATATATTATAATGAGAACAAGTAACATCTGTTAGCCCTACTGACGCTTGATAGCGTAACCGGGGATAGGAGTCAAACTTAATCCTCGTTTTAATATTGCCTTTGAAGAGTCAGACAGTGTAGACAATGGCCCCAAGGGAGGAAGTGTCGCAAGAGTTTTTATTTGTCATCCATGGCAAGAGTACATGTGAAGCTACCTGCTGATGTTAATCTGGCTTGGCTAAAGGTACATCTTTCTTTACATTTTATACAGATTATATATATACATCGTATAAGTACCTACATATTGTCAATTCTGTATATATACATAAAATTAACCTTTATTGTAATATATATTTGTAGTTATTATTTAATTTTATTAATATAATTTACTCATTCGATTTTTTCCTCTATAATACTTCATATATAATGAAAATTACATATTAAAAAATATATTATTTTAATTTTAAGTTTAATCGATTAAGTTGATCGCAAATTAATCGATTTTTAATCGAACATAAGACAGTGACATTGACTGACTAGGTGTAGGTACTATGTAAATTTCAATTCCGGATTTCCGAACTTCTGACTTCATCAGACATCAATAGCATTTTCATTGGCGTTATTCTCATTTCTCAGTTTTTTTTTAAAGTTTGCGTTCGTCATTAATATCGTTATATTTATTTGATACTGTGAGATTCGTTTTTATTTTTCATTAATTGGTTAATGCCGCTACAATCTGAAGTAGCTGTGCTAGTTTTAATAACGTGCTAAACTAACCATTTTTAACTGTTCGAACAAGTAACGAAGTCTAGTATTTGTTCATTTAACTTTATTTAAGTATTAAAAGTTAGCTTAAATTCTTAAGCAGTAAAAATGTCTGGATGTAAGTATTATATTATGATTTTATCCATTATCTTTTGTTATTCGCTTTCTAAATGTTTTCACCGGCGCTATGTTGAGTGAAACCATTTCACCATTGAATCTACCTACTTGTTGCTCTTTGTTTTATGCTTACCTGTAGAAAGTGTTGGATTTGAAAATGTAATAGAATAGACCTAATATGAATAGAATATAATTTTAGGCAGTAAAAAAGAAAACTAGAATTGTATAATTTATTTTATATTTTCATTGTATAATGTAATCAATATCTTTTTATTGTGTACCAAATATTTAGAAACTCAATCTATTTTTTTTAAAGTAATATTTTAAAATTTAACATTTATTTATATCTATCTATATTAGATACATATTTATGAATTATAAATATTTCCATACTAGGCAACTTAGTGATGTGATAAGTAATTTAACTATCATATAAATTAAGATTAGACTTTTAATGATGTCATTAGAACAAACAAATATTAATTAATGTTAGAAGAATAATTAAAAAACCCAATAAGTACAACTATATTCGGCACAAATTTAGAATTGGGGACTTGGCCCCTAGCGGAGTGGGTGGTATTTCTGGATAAGGGACGTGATAGGGAGTCGAAATGTTAAATAAAAATTGTCCGCGAACGTATGAGTAAAAAGTTATTGAGACTTAAAGTTACAACATTTCCATACATTTTCATATATTTCTTTACCACCATTCGGAGTGGGTGGTATTTTTAAATAGGGGAGGTGACAGAGAGTCAAAATATATTAAAAATATTTGGAGGAAACGTACGAGTAAAAAGTTATTGAGACTTAAAGTTATAACATATCTAACACATTTCCATACATTTCTTTACCTAAATAAGTGATTACAACAGATAAACATACCTTTAACGAATAGTACGCATCCTTTTTTATGTACAATACATATTTTCACAACAATTAATGCTTTATTGTATTTAATATTTTAATAATTTCACAACACAAACAAAATGATCTTACATTTTGACAAAAGCAAAACTGACACTTTGTTTTATATTACCGCTTAAATGACAACAGATTATATTCGATTATTTTTGCTTTTTCTGTTGGTAATATTAATAAATAAATAAAAAGAAAAATATTATTTTCACTTCATAAATACATTATTTATTTATTATTCGTCATATCTGGGTTAGGTTAGGTTAGAACATTTAAGATTATTTATTTATTATTCCTCATATCTGGGTTAGGTTAGGTTAGAACATTTAAGATTATTTATTTATTATTCCTCATATCTTGGTTAGGTTAGGTTAGAACAGTTGCCACAACGCACGAGCCGAGCGAGCGAAGCGAGCGTGCCGCGGTAGCGGCCGGCGAGTGCCATAAATGACTAGAAAACTAGAAAATTCGAATTTCACGTAAAGTACAAATAAAGACAATCATCTGGAGATCATTTTGACAATTGAAAGTGACGTTTTGACTCCAAGTGTCTAAATGGTAGTAATGTCAAAATAATGTATGGAAATGTTGTAACTTTAAGTCTCAATAACTTTTTACTCATACGTTCGCGGACAATTTTTATTTAACATTTCGACTCCCTATCACGTCCCTTATCCAGAAATACCACCTACTCCGCTAGGGGCCAAGTCCCCAATTCTAAACTGCAGCCCTATATTCTTTATGGTTACACTAACTGCTTGTAATTTATATTTCAGATCCATATGGAGGCAATCCCCAATATCCTCCACCCCAAAACCAGATCTATCCTCAAGTAATGAATCCCTCTAACATGCCTCCTGGACAGCCTGCACCTCCAGGATATCCATCAGGGCAAAACCCTCAATTTCCATACCAGCCCGGATTTGTTGTATATCCAACCCAGCCAGGTCAAATGCCACCTAGTGCAATGTCTTATCCTGGAGCTCAATCAGCTCCACCATCCTATGCATATGGATTTCCTCCACAAGTGACTCCACAACCTGGTTATGAACGTAAGTAGTTTTTTGGAATATACTTAAGCCTAATTTTATATGCCTAGACTTGAAACGAATAATATTTTGCTTTGAATTTTAAAGACTTACGACTTACAAACAATTTCAGAAACTTAATTATGATCCATCTCAGAGACTTTCATTCGAATTCTTAAAACATGAACATTACTATAAATTTAAAACAGACTAAACATTTTAATGATTCTATATTTTATATTTCCATTAATATTATAAATGCAAAAGTTTGGATGGATGCTTGTTACTCAATCACTCCAGAAAGGTTAAACAGATCTGGATGAAACTTTGCACAGAGTTAGATTACAATCTGGAATACCACATAGGTTACTTTTTATCCCAGAAAAACTTACGGTTCCCGTAGGATAGATATGTTTTTTTTTTCATCAGGGGCAAACCTAAGCAAAGTTAGGGTGGGTTACTATTGCTACATAATGCAACAATGACATAATAAGCAGAGTTAAAATTGGACAACTAATAAAAAAGTTATTACATTAAAAAAAAAATTTAGATACCTAATCATACAAAGACCTTTAAGCGAGCAATTTAATACACGATTATTTTTATCAAACTGATAAGTGTACCTATGGAATGCACTTACATCATTTCATATTTATAACGCACTAGGAACTTTCCCTTGGTACCTAACAGTAGTGTAGAGGAAAATTTTGATAATTTGTTTGTTTATATCAAATAGATTCTGAAACTACTGATATTGATTTAGATGAAATTTGGTATGAAGAGTTTGAGACTCTTGGAAAGACATAGGATAGTTTTTATCCTGGTAATCATCCCTTAAGGAGGTGAAAATGGGGGTGAAAGTTTGTATGGTGAAACAACCTAGGGACAAGCCTGAGTAAAGTGAGGGTGAGTCACTAGTTTATAATAGTAGGCCAATGATAGGAATAATGATATGAATAATATTTATTCTCCATTAAAGCTGATAAGTAATTACATATAGATATTTTTCTGTATCAAGTCATTTGTATCAAATAATATAACAATTCAGTTGAGTTAAATAACAGTTTGTGGTTTGACAGACATAATGTGCATTGACAATGAAATATAGTAAAACATGAAAGCCCATTAACAATATTATGTGAATATAATAGGATATAAAAAATTGAACTTTTGATTGTTTTAGTTTTTATAAAAAATAAGGAAACAATTTCTTAGTAATTAATATTTATTAGGCATCAGGCAATTTATGTCAAATTCTATTGTAATATTTAAGATTTTTTTTGGATTGGATGATTAAGTATATCACATAACAATAATATAAGGTTAGCTCTAATTTGGGTCTTTTCCTTCCCTATTGACACCTGTTAGATAATACATTAGTATACTTCACAACTTTGGAGCGAATGGAGTTAAACTGAACTGTAAAACTTATTGTAAATTGTACTGCAAATTAATTATTTTGTCATTGAATCAGGTACGTAAAATGGAATGTCGGTTGCATAGAATGCTTTTTTTTTGAGGGTAAGCCGGGGCCTCATCGATGGCATAGCCTAGGGCACTCGCCCAGAGTGCTCAATGGAAAAGAGAGGCCTGGTTAGAGCATTTTATCTTAAAAAATTGCAATCAATAAATTTTTCACAGTATCTAAATTCTTTTAAGTAATGATTACACATTATGTTCAATGTATCAAAGAAACCTTGAAATTTCTGAAATATGGTTACTCTACCGTACAAATGCAGGCTGAACAATAGAATTGGCTTAGATATTACCAATTTGCTTTATTTGTATATTTCACTAGTATTGCCCGCGGCTCCGCCCGCGTTCAGATGACCAAAAACCAAAGTCTTAGGTTTTACATATTTGTACACTCTTACATTACAGTTTTTGTAATTTTTTTCAGAAATAAGATATTTTCCCGCTAAAAAGTATCCTATATGTTGACCCGAATAATCAGCTATCACCATACCAAATTTCATCAAAATCCCTCCAGGTGTTATTCTGTGATGAGGTAACAGACAGACAGACAGACAGACAAAAATTCTAAAAGCTATAAATTCGGCCTCTATATCGATAATAATGTTTATTTCTATAAGATTTTCCAAAAAATATTTAATTTACAAATTCGGTTTAGTTACAATTTTATTATATGTATAGATTATTGATTTGTTAAAATTTAAGATCTTTAAAAAAGATTTGGAGAAAAAACAACTGTTATCTATTATTAATCAACCGTAAAAAATATTTAAAAAAAATATTTTGGCCTGTTTAAAAATTTTGTGCAATATTTTAAGTAATTCACGAAAAACTATGTTAGACCACACATAGGTATAGGTATTTTAAAGTACATTTTCTCTTCTCAACATACCTATATAGAAATTTAAATTACATGTTCTGTAATATATGATTACACATATTCCCTACATTGTAGATAAAAAACTTGGTGATTCATTCACAGCGCTATTTTTAACCTTTGACAACCAACCACAGAGTTGCCGGCAAAAACAATAGTTAACAAATATTTTTGAAGTTTTACTTTTGGCGCGTTTGGAAAAAAATATGACAGTAATATTTTTACGATGCGAGCCGACAGCCAAAAAGCGAAATGATGAATTTAGCTGCATTCCTTTTACAAATAGAGAGTTGTGAGATACGCGATGAAATCTTTAGCTATTTTTGTTCTGTTAAATATAACTTACGTGCGTACATAAGTACACATACAAGCTTTGTTTTATAAATAATATTATATTTCTTTTTTATTACAGCTGCCATAGAATGGGTGCCAACTAATGCAAGCGATGCTCATCACTTAACTAACAGAGCCGTGGTAGCTGGATATGAAGGGCATGATGGAAGCCCTCTATGGGTGATAAGAGCGAGATACGAAGGCGACTTGATCCCAGGAAAGCTAGCTATAAAACACAAAGCGGCATATGTGCCTTGGGGAGGACGTGAAAACCTTGTTCCAAATTTTGAGGTGATTTACTCATTCTGCCGTCATAATAAAGAAGGCTAATAATTTGGTCAAAATTGACGTAAATGCAGATTCGGAAACAGCAAAAAAAGCCACTTAATAGTCTTACTCATAAAGCTCTAAGTCTCATGAATCCGGAGATACCATAACCATTTTCATCGTGACGTGACTACGTGAAAACTACTAAGTACTAAGCAAAATTTCAAATATCTCGAAAGCAACTTTAACGAATTTGCAGTCGTCTTTTTTATGACGGTAGAATTCATGTTTATATTTAGTTTTAGCAAACTAATACAATTCAATGTAATTCAAACCAAGATAACTAAATGGTATGTTGGTATGACGTACACGTAAATTGATACAAGATGGCGCCGATATATAGTGTTTTATTTCAGAGTTATTTATGAGTTGAATTAGAAATGCTATTGATAAGCTAATAAAATAATAAATTATGTTTAATATAAGGATAGTAAACACGTTGCGGAAGAAATGTTTGTACCAACTCCTATTTAATATCTTGTGGTTCTCTTTGTTTTCTTTTTATCTAACATTAAATATATATTGTCTACTGAGTTCGAGCTCTAGATCAGGCTGAGTAATTGAATATTTCTGTCATTAATCGTCACTAACATTGGAGTTGAGGGAATTGGTGGTATTACAACATCATGAGGCAGAGCACGTAAAGCCGTCGGTCCTGCATTTGATCCGAGACTAGTGTAGAATTGTCGACTCACTGGACTTTGAAAGTGAAAGGAATAGATAGTGATCTTGTGTTTGCACTTATACTTATGTACATGGCAAGTCTCAGTGAGATTGAGCGCCATAACCTAAATGTAATAATGTGTTTGTAGTGAAAACTTCTTTAACCGCGTTTAGCGATTTTTGGTAGGGACAAAACTTATGTGTTCGCGTTACCGGTATGTTACCTGTGAAATGTGACGTGTTGACACAATCTGACTCAGACTGGTGACGCGCAGCGTCATGTTTTGATTAATAAATAAACTATGTATATCAAAATATAAATAATGATTACTCAGTGTTAATGAATGTGAAAACCAGACAATAATAATTTCAATTTACTTTAGACATTTTACTTAACTATTCACACTATAATTATGTAATTTAAAAAAAAAACAGTTATTTCAAAGACATAAGTTTTCACTACTGGCAACGGTCTCCATGACTGCCTATTTCAATTTTTTTTATTTCCAGGTGTGCTGCGCTCGTCCGGAAAGGATTCGTTGGAGTGAATGTAGAGATGGAACCGTACCACCCAATGCTGTAGTAGCCGGTAATACCTCGTCTGGAGAGCCTTTGTACGTAGGAAGGGCTCGGGAGCAAGGATCACTTACTCCTGGCAAGGTGAGTGTATTTGAATTAACATATTTTATTTATTAGGTCGATAACTCCAAGGAACAATATTGTAACTCTGTATTATGATAATTACTCAGTTGTAAATATTGTTCTTAGCAGGCGGCTATGTATTATATTTGATGCACTTATGTAATAAGTGGAATATATTTATGAGCTTCTATAAATATAGTGTGTAATAGGTTACCTTAGGGAGAGAGATATCTTCATGTGAAACTGATGTATTAAAATTGCAAAAGAATATTTTTTCTTATTTGATTGTTACTGTTGTGAACTTATTTTAGTGATTGTTTTTTTTTAACAAATAGGTTATCAATAAACTTACATACATTGACATATTTGTTCAAAACCACCTGTAGTAGCTGAACTAAAATAACTTAAGTTCTATGTAGTACTGTGTTAAAAACTAAAAAAAATATAATATCCTCTTTTTTACTTTTTAGGTACACCCGAGCCATAAAGCCATGTATATATCATTTGCAGGCAAAGAGGTTGCCCACAAAGCATATGACGTATTGTGCTCAATTTAAAATTTTATTTTCAAACTTTATTACCTTTTGGTTTCTATTATTTGTAGATGTAGGTATGACAATATAAAAAAATATTTGTTTTAAATTGAACTTTTCGCATATTCTGGGCCTTATTTTAATTTTTATATTATTTTTAGGATTTTCAGTATTTACTTAAATGGCCAGATCTCATTGTAGAGATGGATCTGTTGTAATGTTAAATAAATCTTATGTATTAATATTGTTATTCAAAAAAGATAAATTTATATAAGACAATATATTATGATTTCATATTTATAGTGTGTATTTTGTAATATGTAATTAGATATAAACATTGTTGCATTTTTAATAAAGTTTTTTATAATATTATTTGTTTTTGTGAAAATCCATGCTTTTAATTTATTTTATTTTACTTACTTTTTCTTTTTTCTACAATCCATACATAAAATGGTAGGAACTTACAAATTTTAAATAACTTTTTAGTTCTTAAATTTTATTACTTTATAATTAGAACTAGTGACTCACCCTCGCTTCGTTCGGGTACGTCCCTAGGTACGTTTTAACGGTTGGTATATATATATATATATGATGAATAGTTAGAATTTTATTATATGTATAGACTAGCATTGCCCGCGGCTCCGCCCGCGTTCAGATGACCAAAAACTAAATTCTTAGGTGTTACATATTAGTATACTCTTACATTGCAGTTTTTGTATTTTTCCTCAGAAATAAGATATTTTCCCGCGGTAAAAAGTATCCTAGGATCGCGCGCTACATCGCCCGGTTTATATAGCTTGAGCAGGCGGTCGAGCGATGCGGGGCAGAGGAGATGGACTCGCCGTAGGCATCTCAATGCTCGCCAAGCATTAAAAATGTTTCGCTACTAATTACTTCTAACAACGATATCTCAAAAACTATTCATCTGATTGATTTAGTGTAAAGAGCAATTTTAATCTGCATTAAATGACTAAGCTAACTAAAATATTCATTTGGATAAGGATTAATACCGAACTAAAGAAAATAACTTTGAAAATAACGTAATGTTTTTAATTAAAAATGTTAACATAAAAGTGGTTATTGTAAGTCAACCGTAAGAGATAGAGATATGCTATCGCGGACTTTTTTGTAGCATTTTTATAGATTTTGAATTCTCTAGTACATTACTTAACTGTATCTTTGCTAGTTTACGCGGCGTTCGCGTGGAAAGTTCCCATTTGGCGAGATTTTTTGCGACCTCTTCAACATTTGTCGCCGTATTTCAGCTAATTTACATAAAAGCATAATAAATTATATACCTAAACCTTCCTCAAGAATTACTCTTTCTATTGTTGAAAACCGTATAAAAATCCGTTCAGTAGTTTTCGAGTTTATCGCGTTCAGACAGACAGGGACAGACAGGAGGACAGAAAGACGCGGCCGGGGGACTTATTTTTATAATATGTATAGATTGTAACTAAGACGAATCTGTACATTAAATATTTTTTGGAAAATCTTATTGAAATAAACATTGTTATCGATACAGAGGCCGAATCTATAGTTTTTACAATTTTTGTCTGTCTGTTACCGCATCACGGCAAAACCATTGGAGGGATTTTGATGAAATTTGGTATGATGATAGCTGGTTCTACGGGTCAACATATAGGATACTTTTTACTGCGGAAAAATATCTCATTTCTGATAAATCTATACTAAACATTAAAACGTAAGTATGGACGAACCCGAGCGGAGCGAGGGTGAGTCGCTAGTATCAAATAAAAAGTTATGTCAATTTATAGTATCACGTCAAATAGGTATTTATTAGAAAAAAATGCCAATAAATTACTGTTGAGTTGATTTGGTTGAAACATTAATTTGTAAAACGATAATGATTGAAAGTTTAGATATATGAACATAGTATAAAATGGATAGTTTCGGAAATTCTAAATTTCTTCTTGCTTTCAATGTAAGTTGAGCTCATAGCTATATAGTCAAGCATATTAAATAAGGTTAAGCTTAGACTGGGCGCACGTCTGTCGAACGCCGACGCACCCTGGTAATAGCTAAAATAGGTAACGCAGAGTTTAGCTGGCAGTCTTTTGTTTGTAATATGTACAAAACAGATAGAGCCCCAATTTTATAGGTAATCAATTTATATAGATAGGTAAATAAAATTGAAGTGTCTGTTAATAATTTATTTATTTATTTATTTATTATCAGTTGGGAAACAAACAGCTTTTATAATACAGAAATATGTAAATAAAATCTATTCTTCTCATCAGCCAATGGAATGGAAACTTTTTCCACTTATAAGTAAACATGGAGTGAAAAAAAAAATTACAAACTATACGTAAAATAAACTAAACATAATCTTTGTGTATAGAGAGGGTTGCAAAATACATATTATATCAAGGATGATCGAGTTTATGCTTAATGCTTTGAGAAAATTTGTTGATATTACTATCAAATATGTCAATTTGGTTATAATATGTATTATGCGATCTACAAGCTCTAATTACAAAACAGTTCTTGGCATAATTTGTTCTACACATAGGGACACAAAAAGTATCTTTAGAACGGGTGCAAAAAGTTGGGCATTTGAAATTAATATTGCTTAGAAGATAATCGGAATCAATTAAATTATGTAAGATTTTATAAAGAAAAATTTGGTCTCTGTATTCTCTACGTTGCTTCAATGATAAAATATTTAAATTTTTAATTTCAACTACATCAAATCTATACCTCAATCGCTTTATAAATTTATTTTGCACACTCTCTACTGCTTCAATATATTTGTTATATTGCGGGTTCCACACAGTCGAAGCATACTCTAAATGAGATCTAACATATGAATTATACAGCAGATTAAATGTATGTATGCTTTTAAAATCACTAGCGCTTCTAAATATAAAGCCAAGCATTTTGTATGCTTTTGTAATTATATTATTTATATGTTTATCAAATATAAGTTCAGCATCCAACAACACGCCTAGGTCTTTCACGTCATACACTCTCTTCAGTTGTTTATTAAAAATTTTATAATCAAATATAATTGGCGCTTTCTTTCTGGAGAATGTTATAACACAACACTTGTCGATATTCAAAAATAACCCATTAGATCTACAGTAATTCTCTAAATAAACTAAGTCATCCTGAAGTTTTGCACAATCTTCGTTTGTTTTTATAATTTTAAAAATCTTTGTATCATCTGCATAAAGAAGTATATTTGAATTTTGAAAAGACTGTAAAATGTCATTTATGAAAATATTAAAAAGAAGAGGGCCAAGGTGAGAACCCTGTGGAACTCCAGATGTAATGGGAACAAAGCTAGAGATAAATCCCTTAACAGCCACCGCTTGAGACCTGTCGCGAAGATAAGATTCAAGCCACCTTAAGAGATCACCATGTATACCAGCATGCTCTATTTTGCGAATTAATATAGAATGTGAGATCTTATCAAAGGCTTTGGAGAAGTCGGTATAAACGGCATCGATTTGAAATCCGCTACTCATAGCTGAGAGCACAATATCCAGGAATTCGCACAAATTTGATTCAGTTGAACGTCTATTAACAAATCCATGTTGTTGTGAAATAAGTAAGGGTCGCAATAAGGGGAATAGGGTATCATAAATAATTTTTTCTAATAATTTTGGTATTACAGATAGTTTTGATATTCCTCTATAGTTTCTAATATTATGGCTTATCTCCATTTTTAAATATTGGAACAATAATAGATTTCTTCCAGATTGGTGGCAGTACACCTGAATGTAAAGATTTCATAAATAGTATGTGTAGCGGAATAGAGATTTGACTACTACAACGTTTGAAAAATATAGGATGCAATTGGTCAGGGCCACTTCCTTTGGAACAATCAAGCTTTAATAAATATTTTTCGATGGTCTCCTTAGTTATATTAATATTGCCAATAGATATATTATGTCTAGAAGGTAAGATATGTTCTCTAGTTTTAATATTTCCGTCAACTTTAAAAACAGATTGAAAGAATGAGTTAAACAAGTTAGCTATAGTTTGACCATCCGAACCAAACTGATTATCAAGAAACATATTCTCTGGGATACAGTTACTAAATCGCTTTGATTTTACATAGGACCAAAAGTGTTTTGAATTATAGCGAATATTTGTTTCTGCCATTTCTATGAAAAAATTATAACATTCTAATTCTAGATCCTTAGTTTCACGACGAAGTTCTGAGAAGCGGTCATAATCGCTAGGTCGTCCATAAATTTTCCATTTTTTATGTATTTTTAATTTTTTATTAATCAATCTAATTAAGTGTTTCGAAAACCAAGCCGGAAATCTACCGTGATGATAAACTACTTTAGTCGGTACAAGTCTATCAATAACTTCATTCACTATGAGATAAAATTTATCAACAGCATCTGTAATATTATCTGATGAAAGTTGTTTCGTCCAGTCAATTCTACTCAATTCAGTGTTAATAGTATCATAATTAGCGTCATGGAAGCGACGAACAATGCGAGATGGTTCTCTGAGATTGCTGCCAGAAGTACCTCCTTCAAAGCTTACGGTCAGGGCTGGATGGTGAGCATCCTCTGGCAACGATAAAGGAGTTGTTCTCTCTACTAAACAGGCAATATTAGATAAAACCAAATCAAGTAATCTATTATTAAAGTTCAAGATATTATTATATTGATTTAATCCAGTAAATGTCATAAATGCAAATAATTGTAATATTAAACTGCTACCGGAAGTATTTTGAATTGTTAAATTTCCATCGGATTGAACCGACCATACTGCCTCCCTGATGTTAAAATCACCCAGTATAATAAAATTGTCATTAGGTCTGTTAATTAATAAATCTGACAAAAATTCAAAAAAACTTGCTTCAGAGTCGCATTGATGAATACTCTGAGGAAAGTAACAACAAAACAGGTGTAACTTGTTTTTATAATGTAAAAAAAAGGTTTATACTAAATGCATATGAAATTGTTTACGGTAATTATAAGAAAAAGACATTTTTTTAAATTTTATCTGTCTGTCTGCTTGTTTCGGCTATCTTCGAAACGGTTGAACCGATGTTGACGGGACTTTTACTGGCAGATAGCTGATATTATAAGGAGTAACTTAGGCTACTTTTATTTTAGAAGAAAAAGTTGGGTTCCGCGCAAAAATATTAAAACTATAAAATAGCGAACAAAATCGTTTCTACGGAAGCACCCAAGCGAAGCGAGGGTATGTCCCTAATATACAACAAGGTGTTTATTTTTTTCGTTATTTAACGTTTTAGGGCAACGTCATCTACCAATAGGTGAGTTTAAAACTAGTGTTGTGTGCTGTAAGTTTAAAATTAGTGTTGTTAAATTAAAATAGCATTGTTGAACATTGGAAGGAATGAGAGACACAAAAAAACCTTGAAGAAATACTATTATTAGATACCTACATAGCAATATGTATTGATCTTATCAGTACTGTAGTATCTATTTACAGACACTATAAACAAGTTATAAAAGATCGGTCAAGTGCAAGAAACTACAAAAGTACAAATGAAAGTACAAACTACAAATTTACGGTTTTTGAATTTTTCCTATACTTGTGCTATATAAGACAGTGCTTCTCGCCAAATTTCATCATTCTATGCCAATGGGAACTGGAAGTACCCTATAGGTCTTGTTCTTGATTCCGTATCGTTTGATTGCGTTGACTGAAAAGTTTGATTTTTTCACAGCACCAAGGGATTGCACACCTGAATATTTGACATTAATTTCAACTTGATACCTCAACAACTTCCTGAAAAAAAGTGTTTCGACACACAGACAGACATGGACAACAAAGTGATCCTATAAAATGTCCTTTTTTCTTTTTGAGGTACGGAATCCTAAAAATGTACACGTTCATAATTAACTACCATGTAGATTAAATCTGAATCAACTACCATGTAGATTAGATCAGTTAAAGAAAAAAAAACAAAATAGAAATAATATATTTCATATTATTTTTAATAACAAACACACGGTATAAGTACTCTATTATTAACGCTATATTATATTACATTACATTAATAGCAAAGGAACAATATTTTATTAATTTACCTTACTTTATTATTTTATACAGGTAAATTAAAGGTAGGTACGTACTATTTGCCATATTTTTGTGTATTCCCCTGATTTCTCTGTTCTGCTTATTATTTACAGCTAATACATTTAAGTTCAAAACACTCATTATCAAACTGCGATTACACATTGATATTAGTAACAGTAATTAAAAAAATAATTTATGAAGTGGTATCGGTCATTATATCAATTTGACCAAATAATTGAATTTACGCTAATAGTTTTTAAATGGTCTTCAAAAAATGCCTTACAAATATTGTCATGCTGGTGAATAAAGTTTTTTTTTTAAATAATACTTGTAGGAAAATAATATAAGTACCTAAATAGCGAATAAAATATTAAAACTAACACATTCTTTCTTTTCAAAAGATTATTACGATCACAGGTTGAATACAATATTTTATATAGATTATATAATATCATTACTTTATGTAAAATAACAATATTAATTTGCATACCGCCAAGATTGTAACAATCATAATTTTATTAACGATTTATAATGTTAAGATTTAATATAAATTTTACATTTAACAGATAATATATCACAGGCAGATTTCAATTTCAATTTCGGATTTCATTTTTTTTTTGTAAATATACATAAATAGGTACCTAATCTACGCTTATAATAAAACACTGTACATTAAATATTTTTTGGAAAATCTTATTGATAAAGATTATTATCTGTACAGAGACCGAATTTATAGTTTTAAGAATGTCTGTGTGTCTGTGATCGCATCAGGAAAAAAAAAGATTCTGACACTAAGAAAGAAAAAAATTATTGAAAATTAATACTGATTTAAATAAAGGCAGAGCTTTTATGCTTGTAAAAACTAAAACGTTTATTGTTCACCTGAATATATTCTTGTATGGCCATCGTGTAAAGTACACTATTACTACTTAACCTTATTCAAAAACAATTATCTACAATATAAATCTACAAATGTCTTAAACAATATCTAAGGTTAAAAAGTGGTGGACGGATTTCGATGGAACTTTTAATATGATATTCAATCTGAAGTATATATACATCATAGTTTATCTATATCACTTGAGTAGGTACCTAGCTTTAGTTATATATTATAAGTACTAGCGACTCACCCTCGCTTCTCTCGGGTTCGTCCCTAGCTTAATTCCCAATGCAAACTTTCATCCCCCATTTCACATCTTTAAGGGATGATTTCCGGGATAAAAAGTATCCTATATCCTTCCCAGGGTCTCAAACTATCTTCTTACCAAATTTCATCTAAATCGGTTTTGTAGATCCAGAGATTACCCCCTACAACGTCACAAACTCACGATTACCCCCTACAACGTCACAAACTCACCAACATTACCTCTTTATAATATTAGTAGAGTTAATCAGACATCAGTTCAAGTTAGTTATACATAAGTAATTATTCAAGTAAAATATAAATAATTATAAATATTCTATTTTTTATGGTTCCCAAATGTATTTTTAAATAGGTATATAAACTTGTAATTGCTTTTAAAAATATAATTTACGATAAAATTAACTACAATTTACTAGTACAAAGCATGCTTTCAGTGAATCCCATTTCAATTTGCGACTGGTTTACGTTTTTCTCCAAAGTATCGGGAACCGGTACATGATTGTCATCTGTTTTGGGAGAAATTTTGCTATCTTCAATTTCAAAAGCTTTATTTTCTATACCATTTTTTTCAATTATGGCTTCCGCTTTGGCAGTTTTGTTGCTTTCTTGTATTACATCACCATGTTTCTTATTTGCCAAATACAACCATCTGAAAATATTATTAATAATACTAAATCACAATACTAAATATTTAAATTAATTAAATATGTATATCAAATGGATATAACAAACTTACTGTTACATATTTCTACATACGTTAGATTTTTTGGTCCATCATGCAAAGTATGCAATGTGAAACAAACTGCATATACGAGTATATATCAAAATGTAATGAATTTGATGAAAATTGATGAAAATTTAATCGAACTTTCAATAAACGGCAAAAGCAGTACTTACAAGAATATAAGTACAGCTGGCACAGTAAGTCCACCGCCAAGGAGAAAGAAAGCGCCGGGAAATGTCTTAATGGTAGCTGTGTATACTGTAGTGTACATTGGAGCGTAAACTAACGGCATCATTGCTTCTGCTACGCCGAAAAATGAATTTACTTTACCTGAAAACATGTTATTTTTTTATAAAACTGTTCAAATACCAGGAAATCCTGTATAGTAGATTATTACGTTAGGATTGACGAATATCTAAGTTAAATGTCGTAGGTAAGACAAAAGAACTGCATTTAAATATCCATTTTATGTAAAGAATAAAGCTATATTTCAAAATTATATCAACGCGAATGAATAGATGTATCTATTTATTAATATTTCCGCATAAGTAAATACATATATTTGCATTGTAATTTTTCTAGATCAACCTGTTTCGTCTAGACTATACGAAACAAGCTGATTTCTAAAAAGAATCAAGTCTTAAGAGTCTAAAGAAAGAGATTTATTTGAAAATATCACGAAAGCGGCCGTGAAAGTTGTCTGGTTTCAATAAAGTTATACATACATATATCTTAGCTATGTCGATATTAAAGAGACTTTCTACCAGCTGTCATCAATAAAATATATAGATAGTACAGGTCTCATAGTATTTATCTGTTATCGATGTGAATATCTAAAATTACTTACCTAATTCGTCCCTGTCAACCAGCTTCGAAACCATCGACCTCATCGCAATAAATGAAGTGCCATTGAATATTTCAATAAGTGGTGCTACAAAAAAGATAAGAAAATAGACAAAGATTAATAACAAATTTAAATTTATTAAGTCCTGATTCCATTCAGATATATTGTGATGACTTTTTTATAGAAAAAAGGGGTTTAGTGGGTATCGTCTCTCATATACATACATTAGAGCTTAATAAAGTTTTCGGTGCCCCGATATGAAGTATTGAAACACTTTGTTCTAAGGATAAAAACGTAAACATTTAAGAATTATTAAATATCCGTGTAATCTCTAAGCAAGATATACAAATAGAACTAGCCTCAGGTGTTTTAGCGTCATTTTTGTCACCTTCGCTTTTGATAAAAATGCGCAAAAAGTCCAGAAAGCTGTGTTTGGATATATCAATCGATAAAAATGTATGCTCTCTATATTGCAAGTATAAAAAATCGCAATTTAATCGAAAGAGAGAAGTATTTTAAAACATCATCCAAAGAAAATTAAACAAAGTATTCAAAGTATGTATGACTAAAGCGCTGCAATATTTTTTTTATTACAAAATATTACAAACCTATGTAAATGTGCCATGTCTTGGTTGCGAACGCGTACATAAAGCCAGATAATATCTTGCTCGTACAAGATATAACTCCAATAATAGCGTCATCAAATTTTAACAGGTGGCTGAACACACCGACAGAAAAAAGAGTACCTGTAAAATATTATACAATTAAGTGACTATAGTTATTTTAATTAGCCTTAGTGTTTAAGAGTTATGAAGGAATTCAGGATGTAAGTATTTATCCATTATTTAAATTTAAAAAATTGTTTAAACTTTAAAGTATGTTTGTATTGTTTGATAAATTACTTGTATTTTAAAGATAAGAAAAAATTAACATTGTTTATTTTATACTATTATTGGAAATAGTGTTTGTGTAACAAAAGATATGATTATATTTTTAGATATCAAATAAGCATAAATACCATGCACATAAAAATTAGGAATATTTTATAGCAGTAAAAAACAATGAACTCATAAAATATAAATTACCTACATAAAATTTATAATAATATTGCTCACTACAGCTTTTAAAAATCTATCACTCGAAGGAAAATATTATAGATATGAATAATAATTAATTGCTAAACGACAAAAATAACGACACAAGCAGATGCGCTAATTTTGCGAAAATTATATAAAATTTTAAAATAGTAATTAAATTATAACAATATTATAATTATAATAAATGTTATATTGGGACAAAATATTTCCACCCTTACGTCATACATTAGGCAAGTTAGAAATGAATATTATTTCATAGAAACTACTTGTTAATTCGCAGTATCGTTGGGTTATAGGTTACAACATTACAGAACAAGAAAGCATTGTGTGGAATTCAATAGGCGACTATCGTCATAGCGTAACAATACGTACCCACTAGGGAAGTGCACATGGCGTAAGTAGAAAACATGCTAAAATCCACTTCATTCCAGTTGAAACGATATCTTGTAAACAAATACATCACAGACATCTCGCCTGAAAAATAACATATGGTATAAACCATAGAACTATAGAACTTGCTTCAGTAATTTACAGTTTTTATGCCGGAAATCATCGCTTAAAGGGGTGAAAATGGGGATGACAGTTTGTATGGGGAAGCAAGCTAAAAAATATTATTATGAATACGAACAAATACATATAGTGATAATAACTAATGTGAATATATTAAAATGCTTTGTTTTTCCACACCCGCTAATATAACGTTTAGACTAAAAATAGAAAAATAATACATAACTTTTTTAAAGAAGCCTTAAAATATCTGATTAGGTATCTTCGTAAAAAAAACTAAAAATAAAGTTTATTATTATTTATATATATATATATATGTATATATATATATATATATATATATATATATATATATATACATACATACATACATAGTTAATACGAATTCGAAGTCAAGATAAAGACTAAGGACTATAGAATAGTGAAATTAGTACCGTTTAATAAGTACCTACCTACTTAATTTAAAATACTTTTTTCCATTTAAGAAGTGAATAATGCGCGAAAGGAGTTGCGAAATTTGTTTTTGACCTGTATAATCCATGCTGTTACTACGCCAGTACAGGTAACTGTTACAAGTGATTGTTGTGTTCGTGATAGCAATAAAAAATATATATTGCAATATACCAGCTGTCATTTTCAATCTCAGAATCAATTGACGATGTAATACGTAAATGAAAATAAAATCGGATTATTATTAGGTACGTGTGCGATATTTGTATCTGTGGAAATAAATGTAACTTCGATATTTAAAAGAGCAACTGTTGAGTTTCTCTTCTTATCAGAACTGCTTTCCGAGCCGAACCGAGGTGTTAGCTTCCTCACGGACTGATTACACTGACGCTTACATTAAATTGATGATTCAAAAACACTTGTAATAAGTCTAATTGAATAAAGTTTATTTCATATGTTTGTTACTACTACTACATGTTGAAACGGCTGTATTTGGATGTAATTTAGTATACAGATAGTCCAAGAGCTGGAGTAACTCGTATATCACTGAAAGGTAGACCTACACCTGAGCGAGGTAAGAAATAAATAAAGCTACTTCTTACCATATATAGGTCCTATTACAACACATAAAACAACCACGAGCATGATCACCCTCAGTCTCCGATTGTTGGGACCAGGTTTGAATGCCACCATAAGAGTATCTTTAACGTAACGCGTGTCAAAGAAATTTCGCAGCCATTCACAACAATTCGCAGTTTTCTTCTGAAATATAAAAACAATAATCACATGAAAAATTAGTTTACACATATTTTATGCGATTTTTTATGTTTAAACTTAAAAAAAAATTGTTTATGTTTTCTATAAACAATATAAAATATTTTCAGAACTATCATATTTAATTTAAAAAAAGTTGTTCTATGTTTATAAAACGGTTGGAGTGCCTCTGAACTGTGTATTTTAACATAATATAATTCTCACAACAAAACTATTAAAAGATCAGTACAATCATGATAACAGTACAGATGACGTAGAGTTAATAATAGAATCCAAATTATTTAAGACGGTTTGATCGATTTTGCTACTTTAAATGTATTTATTGTATTAAGGTAGATCCCGAGGTGGTCCCATAAAATTTTCTATGACATAAAGAATACCGTTTTCGAGAAAATCATCTTAATAGACTTTTAATAAAAACTTAATTTTTTTTTAAATTAAATTTAAATATTTTTTTATGTTTTTATTAAACGATTATTACGGACATATGTAGCTACATTGCATTATTACTGTAAAGTATATATGAGTACATACATACATAGGGACACTAAGGCGTATAATTGTCTATTTTTTTAATTTGTAGGTTAATTAAAAAAGTACTAAAGTTTGACTAAAAACTAACACGAACGTTCTCTACTTTGACTCTACTTTTCAGTCAATATTTATAAAGTCATACGAAAACTTCTAGCAAAAGTGCGCCGTGCGTTGCGCATGTTTAAAGTACGTTAAGCAAGATAAAATTATATAGATATAGACTATTTCTTACACGCAATTATCTTCACTTATAGATATGTAATAAAATCTTGAAAGCCAATTTTAACATATTTCTAACTATCGTTTGGTTTAAAATTTTATACTACGTTTGTAACATCTTGATACAATATTTTAATACTATCGAGTTGATCTGATGATGAAACCAGGTCATAGATAAAACCTTTGAGTGTGGAATCATTTCATTATTGTTTTTGACGAACCTCTTATTTGTTACAGCTAGTCAAAAGCGATTTTATAGTTGTTTAATAAAAGAAAAATCGTTAGGTACCTACGTTTAGAATTGGTGGAATCTGTTAAACGAAAACGCTTGTCAATAGTGTCAATTGCAAATGCCATTAAAGGCTAGAAAAGCACCAGAAGGGATATTACCCAAACAGCCTTACAAAAATTTACATTCATTTCTGCAAGATTAAAAATCGTACCATAGTAGCCTTACGTCTTAGTATGACTAATTTGAAGAGGTTAATAAAATATAATATTAGTAAAAAACTAAAATGTAACGTAACTCTACGTTGAGAAACTAGCTGAGAATTTGCAAGAAAATATATAATGTATATATTTAACTTGTGCAAGGTTCGAATATATACCTACTCAGTTATTATGTTGAGAATTGATCCGCAATTGCACTTCATACAATGTACACCATAATTTTATATCCAATTTCTAAACAAACCCAATTAGCTATGTATTTTACAGATATGTATTATTAAGTTAAAGTTACCAAACAACTTGAACGTTATAATATTCATTTTCTAAGTTCATTTTTCTAAGAAAAACGACGGAAAGAGGTCAGACTTAATTATTCTATAAGACCATTCATCACTAAGAAGATCTAAGATATAAGAGATAATTCAGATCCGTTTGCAGTCTTGTAGGTACTGGTAATTGCTTCAATCATTATTATTCTATTAACCGAATAAAACTAACCTACGGCATAACTCGATAATGCAAAGTTCAATAAATTTCATGCGAAGCTATATTTGATAACTATGTAGTTAACGAAATAATTATTCAATTATTGTACCAAAATTGTTTCTGTCAATAATGAAAATTATAATTATTTTGTTAAAAGTTCATAGATGTTTATAATTTTGAATAACTTAGTGGTTTGTTAAATAAAAACACAAGTTACAATTTTATTAAAAATCTCTGTCTAACAGTTTTTTGTTTAACCATTTGAATATTGTCATGTAGCTGTTAACTCAATGTTAGCTGTTAACTGTTATCTAACCTAATAATAATAAGAACATATTGTTTTCCAGAGCATGACTTAAGTCCTTCCTTTCAAGCGAGAGTGACACCAAATTAGGTCAAGTTGACGGACTTTTTCTATTGTTACGCTCAATGATCTGATTTAGCCATTGAACTCGTGACCTATTATGTAAGTGAAGACGTAACGCAAACTATTTGTTAATAGCAAGTTCTCTTATTGATTTTGCGTACGATTAGGAAAACGGAAAATACCAACAGTGCTACGGTACATAATTAATATTTACTTAAAGTCTTTACGACACTGTAGACGCTAATATTTTGAATGTACCTACTTTAGGTTTACATAATTTAATCATTGCTTTTTTCCATAGTATGATTGTATTGCTATAACATTTTTCACGGAGATTCGTTATATCATTTTACTAACAAATCCAGATGATCGAATAATTAAGTAATATTTCAAATTAAGTAGTATTTTAATTAGCTAAAATTTAATATAGTTATTATTGAAATAAATATTTATTTAACTTTAAATTATATAAAAAATAAATAAATATTTTTTTCTGTTTCATAGCTTAAATTAAAAAACAATATTAAAACATACATACCACACTAATATCTTCTCTTTTAACTTCTTTTATTCTGTAAAACCCATAGAAGAAACTTAAGACATACAAAGTTGCACTCAAGGAAAAAACACCGTACAAGCCAATCTTTCGCACCAATATTCCACTAAGAGCCGCACCTACAGGCACTCCCAAGGAATAAAATAGATTCACTATTCCTATTCTTAACGTCCTTTGTTCCTCTGTCGTCACATCCGCTATATAACTGAACACACCCATGAACATAGTAAACCAACCTCCAGTCAAAGCTGGAAATATTGCTTCTGTTACAGCTGCTACTTCCACTGGTAATTGATGAAAGAAGTAAGTATTAACTATTAGACCTATACTAGTTAAAAACTCTCCTACGATAGGCAAAAGCATACAGAACTTTCTCTGTCCGACTCTGTCGCTGTAAGCTCCAAGAAATATTAGTATGCCACAAGGTAGAAAGGATTGTAATACTGTTTTCCATCCTGCCACTGAGGCCACCAACGTCTGGACTGCTTCTTCTTCAAATGTATAATTGGTCGTTTGTCTTTTAGTCAAAGCATCGCATATATGATGATCGAAAGCTAAATTAACTCTACAAGCTTTTTCTAAATACAAATTCTGTGTTGCTAAAGCTGAAAGGACGGACGGCATTACGTAACATGCTAAAATAGGTTCTACGGTGATCAAAGACATCATACATCTTGCTCTCTGAAATATATTTAACTTTTTTAAGTCGTCGCTGTCTATAGCTTCTTTTTTTATATCAGCCTTATCTTTGCTTATATTATTTTTATTAAAACTATTCCTAATAGCGTCATTCGCGAATAAGTTATTGCCTCCATTAGCTGTATATGGTTTATCTAAAGCCTCGTTGTCTTTTTCAGTTTTTTTACTATCAAGAGCCATGGTTACTTCACACGAAACTGCAACAAAAAAATCTTTATAAATATTATAATAAATATTAATATTATAAATGTGAAAGTTCGTGAGTAGTTATGGGTGTTCACGCCTGCTGAACGGATCTGGATGAAATTTGGCACAGAGATAGATTATAGTCTGGAATAACACATATGCTACCATATATACTTTTTATACCGGAAACATGTACGGTTCCCGTGCGATAGGTTTGTTTTTGTTTTCCTAGAGGTGAACCTGAGGGAATCAACAGTGAGCCGCTAGTTGACTATAATACAAAAACAAATAAATTCGTCGATGCCTATAATATAACTTTTTATTTTTATAATTTAAACAAAATATTTACTTCATCTATATTGTTTATATTTCGTTTGATACGCCGTATTGAGCAACGAGACTTAAATAATAAAGTCGCTTGAAAATAAAAATCCGTTTGAAAATACTCTTTTTGGTTACAAACTATTCTGACGCTCAAAACTTTTGTACATTTGATTGATAAATGCGCTAATGTAGCAAATACCGGACGTGGTAATCACCTCATGATTACTGCGTGCTTATTGTAATCATCTGAACACTAGACAGCATACTTTACCTAGACGCCATGTTTTATACTTTATCATGTCACACCGTAGTTTCTTATAAAGTCACGAAATAAAAGGATATTTCATTTTTTACGCTTGGTTTATTTATATAACAATGTTGTTTGTATACTGTGTTAAATCTGAGTAACGTAGATACGACACGGATGTACTCTAAACTCTAACTGTGTATCTAACTGATTTAAATACTGACGTCAAATTGAATTGAATTTAATTTAATGGTTCAGTGAACAGCTCTATAGAGTCTAAAACTATTAATTTATTTCCTTTTGTACCAAATCAAACAATAATTTTTTTTTGATAATGGATGGAATTAAAATGAATGTATAAGTTATTAGAAATAAACATATCATGATTAGCATATGGCATCGTAGCATCATGGATAAATACAAATAGTGGCAGATTAAATAGCTAAAATAGAATTTACATGATCAATATATAATTATATTGATCATCTAAATTTTAACTTATAAATAAACTTTGTGATTTAATATAGCTATCATATATTTAGTTAATATTGTTATTTAAAGGATGCCGAAGTCGAAATCCAAAATAATTAAGTTCTTACTCCACTTTCTCCAAAATGGGTGGACCTATTTTTATGGGATCTATAGCGACAGGTAGATGATCCAGTGAGACTGTTAGGAACAGACTTAATATAGTGAAATGTTGTAAAATATAGATACAACATTAAAAAAGAAAGAAGAACAATGTTGATTGAATAGTTAAATTCTATTAGGTAATCTCTTATGACACACGATCATATTTTATTAAAACAATGTAATGTACAGTATAATATAATAAGTAGTTCTAACTTGTAGCTATCTGTGGCTTTTCCCATAATGTTTTATATCAATTTTTTAACAAATATTTTCGCTCTTTTACAGAAGTGTCTAGAACAGGAAGGTCAAACAACGTTTGAAAGCTACATTTTTACTCAAATTCATTAAACCGTTATCGAATGATACGCGTTTAAATAATAACAGTTCGACATACATTTTAAAAAATCGTTGATTTTATATTGTTACGTTTGAATTTTAATTTTTCAAACGATCTGCAACTTAATATTCATGAAATAGTCTTATTAGAATTACACATATGTAGGTATAAAGACCAACTTAGAAGCAAAACGTATAAAACAGTTTTGATAACTGGTAGTTTATAAAATATCGTATAGTACAACAGAAATGCTCCAGCCTACTAGAAATTTTACTTGCGAATAGGAAATATTTTAAGTTTCATGCTAGAATATATTCGACTCATAGCCAAATTATATACGGCTATAGACAAAAAATACATACAAATAAATTAATCTTAATGTTTACCATTACAGATGAAAGTGTAAACAAGATAAATGACTCAATTTATTGAAGGTTTGAAGTAATAAACAATATATGGCTTTAAAGCGATATTTTTCATAATTTTTCTGATGCGCAGAGACTATATGAGCCTTGAGGAGATCTCAACAATACGAGCTAACAAAAACTGTATAACAGTGTCATCGCATCGGCCTCGTCCAGTCGATTCCGTGTTCCTTATCAAGGTTAATTCGAGAGAACATCTTAAAATGTAATGCATGTTTATTTGACAATTTCTATAATTTTAAGTTTGTATGGATAAATTACTCGTCAAATAAAGCCACCAACTAATTTGTCGTTGTTACCAAGACAGTGGAAGTATAAAGGACAATATGCATAAAAAATATCTGAAAATTATGTATGTATATAATTGCTTAAAATACTTATACATTCTTAGATTTACGCGAATATTTGACATCTATACCTAGTACATATAATAAAATTCTAACTGAGCCGAATCTGCACATCAAATATTTTTTCAAATATATTTTTATATATTATTGAAATAGTCATTATTATCAATACAGAGACCGAATTTATAGTTTTTAGAATTTTTATCTATCTGACTGTCTGGGATCGAAACACGAGAAAACCAATGTTAATATGAATTTTGATTAAATTTGGTATGATGATAGTTGGTTACCCGGTTTAACATACAAAATTAAGACACGCGGTAGCGTGTCCGGCAAAGTTCAAGCCAAATAAACTTGCGACGCAGCACCGTGTGTATATTTTACACACGGTACTGCGTGACGTCACGGTACACGAAACATTTGGAGCCACTTTTCACCTCGGAATAACTCAAAATCTATTTAACATAAACTCATGAAATTTGATGCATTTATTAAATGCTTTAGATTAACTAGAATCCCAAATTTCATAAATATAACTCAAACGGTTATTAAGATATTAACGTCAAAAAATCGGCATTTTTATCACTGACTGACGTATAGTAGTAAAACCTAACCCACTTCCAGATGACCTAGAAAGTTGAAATATGGTGTCCAGATGAGTATAATCATATGCATACAAAGAGAAAAATCCGAAATCAGTAAATTTTTAAAATTTGAAAAAAATATGATGTTAATTTTTCCAAAATATAATAGCAATAGCAATCATAGTAATAGCAAAAACTTTTTCTTTCTCAGGAGAAAAGGTTCCATGATGATTAAATAACATTTCTTATTTCACCTTATCGACTAACGAACAGTTGCAAAATTATGAAGAAAATAAGATTGAATTTACATGTCACTTTGGAATTATGAATAATAATAGTTTCTTTACAAAAAGTCATCATATCCCATGAAAAACATAAATGTGAAAATGAGAGCCAAGCTCAATGTTAAGAATTAGCGTGGTTGTCAACTTCACCGACTAAGTATATAGTGAATATTTTAAATTTAGTAAGACGATATACAAAAAATCAGTATGAGCGCACAGTTTCTATAAGGAAGCCCGAGTAAATTCAGCGTTGTCAATGATAATAGCAAAAAATTCTTAGCCTTGACACATGATAAAAGCCAGGAAAATAACTTGTTATTTTGTTTTGCGAAATATAACTATGATAGCTTATGATTAGTTTGGCGAAACTAAATACTTAATGTCTACCATTTACACACTAATTTAGACAAATATAAAATATTTAAACAGCTTTATACCTTTATGGATGTTAAATATAAAAACTCTTCATCTAGCTACCTCCTAGCGACGCCAACGCTTCGTTCAAGTCTGTCTCTAAGTCACTTTTCAAAACAGACTAATATCGGGAAGCACTTGAACCGGAATAAAATAATCAAATATCCCGGCAAATGAACTATAATGGTTCAAGAAGAAGGAACCATAAATATAGGAATACCAAATTTATAATATTCGTTAGTACCTATGAGTAAGTCTTTACAAAACTAGATTTATAAGTAATTGACTCCCAGGACAACCAAAGAGTGAAGGCTTTCAGCAATATATCAAACAAGTTTTTTTGGCTGACCTTTTTTTCGTTAATCTCTGTCTAAATGTCTGTGTATTTAGTATTGAAATTGAATTTAATTAAAATACAAAATTTATCATACAGATTTAATAGCCGCATTTCAAATTTTGGTCAATAAACCCAAAAAAAATCTATTGTGCTCCTCACATACGGAAACTCGAGGGCAACAACCCAGAAGATAGTTACCCCTAAACCCTACCCTGATTGTTTATTTTGGTCACATAAACAATTTTCTAAACTCTAAGGTAACATTAAGCCCCATAAGTAAGCGGCGAGTTTGAAGTCCCATAGTGTAAGTATGTATATTGTTTTTAAAATAGACGGAAACTGGTTAAAAGTCGTTTTTTTCCTGTGTTCATATTCCTTTAAAACGTTGACTATAAATAAATTTGTATTTACTGAACGCCAAATAAACAAAAAAATAAAATTAGTCCAGATAGTGAACGCAAATAACTCATAAACATACCATTCACTCAGAATACTGAAGTAACTCAAGAGTCAAGGATAGCTTTGGCCTCGTCACTAATATTTGATTACTATATACTTCAGATAGATTTACAAATTATCAGATACGAATTTAATTGTTTTTAAAGTGCATTCATACTTATTATACATATATGGTCACATGTTCCAAGAACTTCACAAGTTGTTACTTTTGTTTTTGTATTTAATTTCTTTTGTCGTGACCTTGTAAGATCAAAATAGCTTGACAAGTGTAAAATATGATCAAGTGCAAGATTTACTGCAGAGGGTATTGTACCCAATACAACATTTATATTTGCCATTAAACAACAAAAAATGAATTTATAAAAATGGGATTGATATAAATACATGCTTACATATATTCTGAGGGCAATGCAGATAAGGTTGGCTTTTATTATTTATTTGTTTATAAGTTTAGACTTAATACTATAATCAAACTACATTTGCGGCTTGCAATATTATGTGTTAACATTTTTACTATATAATAAACATAAATACACTAAAAATATGCAATGTATAGAGATTGTTTTGTTATATTTATCAGAATAAATCAAATAAAATCGTCAA